CCAGATGTGTTCCCCTTCATCATGTTGTGGCAAAACAGACACCCATCTGGAACTGGGAGGAGACGCAGTGGTTGTGGGTCTGTGGTTGTGCTTGAGAGGGAAGTGGGAGGGAGAAGGGTCCTCTCTTCAGATCATAAAGCAAAATTGTGGAGCTGGGGGTGGAAGGGGTGGATACTGTTAGAATCCTATGGTGCTTCTGTGGAGGAGTTGGCTTCCGCGGACCAAACCCTGCTGTGTCACTCTTGACACACAACGTGAGTGCGGAGGAATTTGCGTCTTTTCCTGGGGCCCTCCCGAGCATGGCGCTTTCCCTGCCTTTCATTTACCTGACTGTGTGTACCTGTGTCCACATCAGAAATTAAAAGCAATTAGCAGCTGGAGACCTTCTTGAATCTTCCACTGGGGTGGGGCACAGGGCGGCCCATGCGATGCCAGCCCCCATTGACGGGGCAGGCCCTGGTCTCTGGGCAGCAGCCCCTCTCTGCCATGCGTTCCTCCCCCCCCCAAGGCTTCTGGATGCACCCGGCCCCTTCTCCTTCTCCTTGACCCCACATGGTCTTTTCCCTGGCTGGCCGGGACACTGGCCTCTCCCCAGAGCCCGACAAAGCCCCTCTTGGCCCTTTGCGTCTGGTTTTTTGTTTGTTTGTTTTTTAAGGACGGAGAGGTTTCCTAAGGTCTTGCTCTGCTCACCAAGCAGCACTGCTGTTGTCATGGCACCCTGCCCCGCCAAAGGAGGGGAGGGTCATGACTAGAAAGAGTGGGTGTTGTGGGGCTGGCGTGGGTGTGGGGGTGAGATGGCGCCACCCAGCACAGAGACAGGCCACCCCAGGCGGCTTGCACAGGCCCTCCTCAGTGCTCTGCTGTGGCACAGGGGCTGCCCTGGGGGGGGAGAAGCAGGTGGAAAGGGGGGCTCCATGGGGCTGGGCTCGAGCGCATGCATGCCCTGCCGTACCGTTCCAAGTGGAGGGGCCTTGATGTGGAGAACAGAGGCTCTCACTGCGGGGGGGGGGCAACAGCAGCCTGCGAAGCGTAGCAACCGCCTGGCAGAAGCTGTCACCTCTGGCTGGCACCTCAAACAGGACAAGAGGCCCTACAGTGGCAGCTCCCCTCCCTCCCTCCCTCCCCCCCGTCACGCCTGGCTAAGCACCATGGGGAGGGGGGCCCTGCGCCTTCCCTTGGTGGTGGCCCTGGGGGATGCGTCAGGTCCTGCTGCAGAGGGGGGAGGGGGAATGGGGGAGCCGCAGCTGAGCAATGTGGAGGGGAGGAGGGAGGGGGGAACCGGAGGGACCCATGGAACGAGCGCCATGTGCTCCGTGAGGAGGCTCCCAAGGAGGGGCCCCGGCTGTGGCCCTCCCCAGAGCCTTCGAGGTCCCTGGTCTGGCCGCAGAGCAAGGAGAGTCCCACGGACGCCCTCGGTGGCCCACGCTGCCTCCAAGGCCTCCAAGGCCAGGCAGAGAGGGCTCTCTGACGGAACCATCATCCTCCCAGGGAGGGGCTGGAGTCGGGGGGGCTCTACCACCTGCTTGGGACTTGCTGAGCTTCTGGAAAGGACCGGGGACTGTTTGCAGCCAGGAGCCCTAGTGTGCCTCCCACCAGAGGGTGGGCGTTGAACAGCCAGATGTTCTCCGGAGGTCCTTTGCTCCAATGGGTTTCGGCTCGGGGAAGAGGCTGGCCTTTGAGGTTGCTGAGGCCGGGCTCAGGGTCCTGCCACAAAGGGGATGAGAAGGGTCCGGCGGAGCCTCCACGCACCAGGCGGGCTCCGCACACCGGCTGCCACGACTCTGGAGGAGGAGCCATCTCGTGCTGCTTTGTGCACTAAGTTTTGCTTGACCTCACGATTTGCGATGGGTTGTGTCCTCATTTGCTTTCCGGCGGTGCGGCAGTGGGCCGTGAGTCTCTCATGGGCAGGACTGGGCCTCTGTCTTTTTTCCCATTGCTCCTCCGGCTCCTTCTGCCTGGCTCGTAGGAGGCCTCAGCGTTAATTGGGATTGACGGGTCTGTCTCTGCCCACTGCTGTGCCTGGTGAGACATGCTGGGTCGGCAGAGGCAGGCAACTGCTGCTGTTGGTAGGGTCTCTCTCTCTCTCTCCCTCCCTCCCTCCCTCCCCCTCCCCATCCCATGGTGTCCGTGGAAGGAGTGGACGCATGGCCAGGACCCCTGGCCTCTGCCTTATGTTCTTTTGTCGACTGGCCTGCTTTCCTCTCCCAACAGCATTGTTCAAAGTAGCTAAGAGAACGTAATAAGCAACAGCAGTAAAAATAAATCTACATTCTGGTAATGCAGCATACGTCGCTCCAGTCTTCTGGACAAAAACCCAGGCAACCCATGATCATAACATGTAGTGAAATGATGGAGTGTGTTTGCACTCCACTGGCTTCTTGGGAGGGGCGCCTAAGGCCTTCCACGTCCAACCCCCTGCTCAGCGCTGGAATCCAGATCTAAGCCAACGTGACGGAGGGCTGTCCAGTTTTTTCTTGAATGGGTCCAGCGTTGGGAGCGCTTGCCACCTCCTCCCCTTAGGGCCATGGGTTCCATTGCCGTACTGCCCTAACAAGATGTTTTTCCTGATATTCAGCCTAAATCCGGCTTCCTGCAGCACGAGACCATTTTTTTTACATGTCCTGCACTCTGGGATGATTGGCAGCAGAGCCCGCGGCTCCCGTCAGTTCTACAGACCTGTGCTTCTAAAGTGGGAGCCTCTGCCCGCAAAGTACCAGGTGGAAGTTCCGAGACCAGCCCGATTCTGTGGGCAACTCCACTCGCAGAGGGCAAACCCAATGTGGCAGGAGAGCCTCGGGCTGGCGGGGAGAGAAGGCAGCCTGGCCATGGTGGCAAAACTGACGGGCAGGCGTCTCCTTCTCTCTGCAGAGGAAGGGCCATCGCTGATCTTCTCCCTCAGCTCTTGGTGTGTGCTGGGGGAAAGTCTCCTGCAGACCTCTAGAACAGGGTTGGTAAGGTGTGTGTGGGGGGGTGTCAGGACAAGCCGCCGATGCTCTCTCTCTCGCTCACTCACTTGCTTCCTATGATCCCACAGCGTGGAACACGATTTCCGGCAGCAGGAAGGGCGTTTTCGGCAAGTGCTGAGCACCATTGAGGTGCAGCCGGGTCGGACGCCCCCCACAGAGGGACAGGCCACCACGCAGAGCCACCACAAGCTGCCACCAGCACCAAGGCTCCCGGTGAGAGCGGAGCCCAAGAAGTCGAGGCGGAAGTGCTTCTTCTGGTTCTTGTGACGTGGCGCCCCGTAGAGTGGCCCAGAGGGAAGACTTTGTGAGCTAGCTCTCCCCACTCCAGCCAAAGCCACGGAGCCACAGGTTTGATTGCACCAGCAATTTTTATTATTACAGTATTTTATTTACAACTGTTTACATGCAGAGCTCCTGCGGAGAAGAAGAAGAAGTGCCCCCTCCACCTAAGGAAGTCTCAATAAATTCCCCCGAGATGCCTGTTTTCATCCTGCTTGTCTCTCCGAGTCTTTATTCTCGAGAAGGCCAAAC